ATAGTTTAATTATTTATTAGCTTTATTTAATTTAGTTTTAGATATTTTAGTACTTCAAGTCACACTAAACGAAAATGAGAAATGTTGCCTTGGCAACTAGCTGAAATAACATAAGCTCAAGTTTCTTTCTTTCTTAATTTAATATTTCATTTCAGTTAATTTTATTTTATTTTATTTTAAATAACAATAATGTTTTTTTTATGGTTTTAGTTTTGGTTAACTATAATAACCCTGATAATAATAATAATAATTATTATTATTATATAAAATATTTTAAAAAATGTAAATATTATTATTGTAATATTTCACTGTAAAATAAAAACTGAGTATTTAAGAAAAATAATTTAAGAGTGTTATTTTACAGTACAGCACTGTAAAATTACAATACTAATATTTAGGGTTGTCTTAATTTCATCATTTTCAAATGTTAAACCATCAATCTTTTATTTTGTGACCATAAAGCTTATTTTTTGTGGATAGCAGCCAGTTTATAAGCACTTCTCATCACAAGTTTGGGAAGATGGTTGAAAAAGAAAACAGTGCCGTCACTGCCGTGCTTCACTCTGAAATCGTATTTATTTCATTAAACACAGCCTTTGCACACTATTCGCACTAATAATCGCACTAAGTCATATCACAATTTCGGTTTTATTACAATTAATCGTGCAGCCCTACCATATAGTATTCACAACTTTCAAAATTTAAACAGTTTTGATGAATAAAAACAAAAGTTGTCTTCTACTTCATAAGAATTTTTCATGTCAATTGCAGGAAAATGCAACTACCCAAGTACAGGTAACTGCATTAATCATTTACAGTACATATCATCAGTTAACAGGCTTACTGGGTCAATGCCGTCTTTCTCCATGCGTGCTCTCTCCAGGTAATAACCTCGATCCGCCACGTTCAGCCTCTTCCAGCTGTCGCTGATGCATTTGTTGATCTCAGACTGCGGCAGGTCCGGATGCTCCTGCTGGACGCTCTGATGCACGTCGAAGTAATACAGCAGATACGCTGACCTGTGACAGCAGACGGGCCGTTAGTGCCGGAAAACAAATACAAGTGTACTGCCTGTGTGTTCATGTTTCTCAGGGAAGATCTACCTGGGCTTCTTGGGTTTTTCTGAGTTTTCCATGCTGCCTTTGCTCTTGCGTTTCTTCTTGGGCGAAGGAAGTTCCAGAAGCGTGTAGCAGCTCTCCACCTCCATCTCCCCATAGATGGCCTCCATCTCTGAAGACACAGAGAAAGAGAATCAAAGAACTAGGATAGAGGCCTTTAAAATCAAGTCATTTATGTATTACCAATAAAATTAGGTCGGTATCATTTGGATTAACTGTTCACTGGATTTATCCTTTAAAACGGGTGATTACAAGGTTTTGGAAATACTTTTTTAATGAGAGAAATGAGAGTATTGTCTTTTCATAAATACAAAAATAATACAAATATTGAAATGCAACTCAAGAGAAAAGATGTCGTATGTCAATGATGTTGAATTTAAAATATGTAATATTACATATAGAAAATTCAGTAACACTTACAATAAGGTTCCATTAGTTAATTAACATGAACAATACATTTATTACAGTATTTATTCATTAATACAGTCGTTCATTGTTAGTTCATGTTAATTCACAATGCATTAACTAATGTTAACAAGCACAACTTTGGATTTTAATAATGCATTAGTAAATTTTGAAATGAACATTAATGCTGAAGAAGCATTGTTCATTCTTAGTTCATGTTAAATAAAGTAGTAAACTAATGAATGAACGTTATTGTAAAGTATTACCAAAGGTTTTTTTTAAATGTTAATTTTATTTCAGATGAGTATATAATTTTTAAATTGGTTTTGGTTTTAGTTTTAATAATAATAAATGTTGAAATGAAAATTAACTAAGATTAATAAATGATGTAGAAGTATTGTTCATTCTTAACTAATGTTAACTAATGAACCTTACAGTAAAGTGTTACCGAAATTTCTTTATCCACACATGTAAATGGGCACCACAAAAACCTACTTTTGCCCCTTTTAAAATAAAAATAGGACCTGCTTATTTTTACAGCAAAAAGAAATAACAAATCAAAAATGACTGTAAATTACTGCAAAGCCTTAACATTATTAAATTATTATTATTAAATATAACTATCAAATTATTTTTAAACTATATATATATATATATATATATATATATATTATTTTGCAAGATATATTTTCTATTATAAATATTTTTTCCTATTTAATTTTGTCAAGAAATATCGATGAGGAGCTGCTCTTGACAGGTTTCGTTACATTCCTTACATGATACTGATGTACTTCAGGGAATACTATGGTATTACTATTGTACATGCACAAAACATGGTACTATTTTATAAACAAGGTAATAGCTGTTAGTATTAGTTAACAGTGTGCTGCTGGAGTGCAGCTGGAGCAGATGCAGGTAAACAACAGCAACATTATTTGGACCGCATCACGTGACACTCCTTAACCGCCTTCACACACACAAATATGATTTTAACTGCAGTTTATTTACATAAAGGCATGGTTTGAGTGGTTAAAGCGGCTGTCGGAGTGTTTGCGGGCACGTCCGAGTGTGTTTTGTTCGCTCCCGATGTCGCTTATTGTTGAGCGCTGATACTGACTGTCCGCGGCCAATGAGCGCGTCTCTTATTGAAGCCTTACCTGGTCCTGAGCGAGCGCGGGATCGGTCCAAATCCAGGCGAACCTCTCCTCACACCGGCGCTAAAGCTGTGGGACCGGCGGTCCGGATCATGTGTGTGTGCGGGGCGAGGGTTCAGTCGCTGTTTTAGCGTGTGTTTCCTGCAGTATAGTGCTGTAAAATGGCGGAGGAGAGATCAGATGAACAACTGGAGGCCCAATGAGAGTTTGGTCTGCAGCGGCTGCAACTGAATACAGTACGACTTTTATTTTGCCCTCGGATATTTTCACACTGTTTTATTTAATTTTACATGTATGTAAAAGCCATATCGTGACACCTATCTACGTTAATAACTTTCCTAGGATACATAAAAGTGTTCTTCCCGCAGTTGGCGCTTGGTGGCGTCGAGCGCCGATTCTTCCGTTGAGTCGTGTTCAAAACTCGGCATGTTTTCATAATGCTGGCGTTTGTATCCAAGAGACATTAGCATCATATAAATCTTTTGATTGCAGGCATCTTTTCCTGAGACGCAAACAGAAACCATCCCCTTCGATCTCTGTAGAATGATAACACACAGCTGTAATGAGCGACGGTGATTAACCGTGAAGAGCGATGAGAAAAGTAACGGGTGTCACGTGACATCGCTGTCTACCGTAGCAGCGTTTATTTACGCCTCAGTAATGACACTGAAAAACTTTAATAGGCATTACATTGAAAAAAAACATAGATTTATAATGTGATTTTTATTATTTCTACCTGAGAAATTTCGAGTCGCTAAGCTTTGTCTATTTTTGAGAAGCTCATGTATTTATAATCGCAATTTATACATAACGTTTCTTTTTTGCTTATATTGTTACTTCTAACGAAAACATAATAAGATCAAATATATTCACAGCAGTCAGGCGTGATTTGTCGTGATGATTCAGATTCAGACCAGGCGAGTCGAGCGCAGATTGAATCGTTTGTCATTTCTGCAGTATGGCGGAGGACAAGGTGAGAGAAAGGCTGGCTGTCTGTAAAGCAAACCCTGTTTTAAAATAAATTACTGTACAGATAAGAACAAACCGGGTGTGTCGTGTATATTTAAGCGCTGTGCTATCAATGGCAGCTGCTGTTTGTTAATTAGCGCTGTTGTAAAGCTTTATTGGAGTTATGTAAAGTCACTGCTGTGTTTCTGAACTCTTGGCATTTGACAGCTCATAGAAAACAAAACATCAAACATAAGATCTCGTTAACCAGGCTGAAAGTGCCTTGAAATCGAGTAAAACGGATCACTGTCGTCAAGCTGTCATCTGTGTTGTCTAATCATATCTAACAGCATGCTTTGGGTCATCGGTAGGGCTGGGTATCGATTCAGATGTCCCGATTCGATTCTCGAATCGACATCATTTAAAAAAAAGATTAATCGAAAAATCAATTTTTTTGACCAGCCCTAGTCATTGGTCTGATGTGTGTTGGTTCTGTTTCAGGATCCGGTGACCCGACTGAAGGATCTGGCTCAGCTCAAAGACCAGCTGGAGGAGATCCAGAAGAAGGTGGAGAATGAGGTTCAAGCTGGAATCCCTCAGGTACCACAGAACCACGACTGATCCTAAATATTACTAAAGAACACGCACAGAAAGTGTGGTGCTGTACTGATGAATAGTTTTGTTTTGTAATGAGATGGTCCCCTTGTGAGGGACCCCAGTGATAAATATAAAGGTAGCTGTAAATTTTTATGTATAAAATCAATTTATACTATGTGAGGATAATATTATATTTATTATTATTATGACCAGTTTTATTTTAGTATAAAGATAGTATTTTAATTTGTTTTAGTTTAAAAAAATTATTTTTTTCTGATTTCATTTTTTTGTCTGTTTTTGGTAGTTTTATTAGTATTTAAATTTTAAATTTGATCTATATTGTTTGTATTTTCATTTATATTTTCTGTTTTCGTTTTGATTTTAGTTAAAGTATTAGTAATTTTGTTGTGTGTTTTTGATAGTTTAATCTTTTTTTTTTTATATATGTTTTATTAATGTTTATTTCAGTTTTATTAATTAATTGTATTTTAGTACATTAGTATAAACTACGTGAAAATGAGAAATGTTGCCTTGCCTAAAATAGGTATATTTAAAAAAAAAATCTTTAACTTTTATTTCAAGTAACAAGTTTTTCATGGTTTTAGTTAACTGTCATCGCCCTGATTATGACAACAACATTAAATAAATGTTTCCAAATTAAATAAATAAATAAAACATATTGTTAAAATATTTTCTTGAAAAAAAAATGATGATTTTTTTTTACCTGTCTTTAGAAAGCAAAATATTTATGAATATTATTATTGTTTTTGTATGTATTATTGTAATTATATTATTAATTTGATTAAAAATATAATTTCGTGAATAAAAAAATACATAATAGCTTAAGTGTATTTTGTAAAATAAATAAATCCCCCAAATTTTTTACGGACCCCCTACCACCCCCTTGACATCCCCGGACCCCAGTCCAAAAAACTCCTGTCCAATTAAAAATAAGAAAAAGTAGTATTTTCTAAACATGTTGCACTTCATATACATTAAGATTGACAGCCTGCATGCTTCCCAGCAGCTGAAACTGGCTGTCCTGTTTGTGTTTCTTAGGGTGGCTCATTTTTAGCGTCTCCTTTCCTGAAAGGATTCCTGGCCGGGTATGTGATTTCCAAACTGCGTTCCTCAGCCATCCTGGGAGTGGCTTTGGGAACCTTGACGGGGATCTACGCCGCTCAGAACTATCAGGTGCTCAACATCGAGACGAGCCTACGAGACTTCCTGAACTCTCTGAAGAAAGGACCGAGTGATTAACAACTCCTTAGCAACCAAATTCAGACTAAAGAGGAGAACATGCGCCATTGCTGCTTGCTTTTGTGTCATTCAGTGCCACATCAGAGCTCCTTCCCTCCTAAACAATACTGTTGGATTAGATAAAACCGTGTTTCGAGGTCTATATATGAGTGTGGATTTGGACTTTAATAATGAAGACTGTTATGATGAAAAGTGGGCGTCATGTAGGGCTGCACAATTAATCAGAATAAAATCAAAATCACAATAGAGCTTAGTACGATTATCAAATTGCAATGGCCATTTAATTAAATAAATATGTGATGCATGTTTCAGAGTGAAATGTGGCACTGTGCTCAGTAGGTTTAACATTTGAAAATGAAGAAATTAAGACACATAAATATTAGTATTGTAATTTTACAGTAAAAAATATGTTACATGATATTTTGTTATAATATTTTTCTTAAATACTCAGTTTTTTTTTTAAAGTGCAATTACAATTGTAATATTTTTATTTAGTAGTAATAATTGTACAGCTGTACTATAAGATAAATTTATTATATTATAATATCATTCTTAAGTACTATTTTTTTATTTTACATTGAAATCACAGTAGTAATATTTCTTTTTTGTATATTTATTTAGTAGCAATAATAACAATTTAGTAAAAAAAGTAATTTTACAGCTGTACTGTAAAATAAAATTCTTATACACACACATATATAAGTAGAGTATTATAATATTATTTTTAATAGTATTAATATAATTTTTCTTGAATACTTGTTTTTTTTTTTTTTTTTACAGTGAAATTACAATATTCATATTTTTATTTAGTAGTAGTAAAACTAGTCATTTTTATTATTGTTGTTATTATTTTATAATCATATGGATATATAATCACAAAATCTTTGGCCAAATTGCGCAGTCCTACAAACTAGCACAGCAAACCTCAAAAAAATAAAAAAGAATCATTTCAATCAAAATGTTTATTAAAATTCTTAACAGATTTTTAGCCCCCAAATCATGCAGCTCTAGCATCATGTCCGTTTTGTTTCATACTTCACCGTTGAAGACTTACGGTTGTCCCGGTGCTTTGTTTCAGTCTTTTGTAGAACTTCTTCCTGTACTTTCAGAAGCAGCTGTTGCATGATTGTGATAGATAATGTAGACCCTCCTTCTCCTGGTTCTTATTTACGGTTCCCATGCTCCTCTCATCTCCCTCACGGCCGCGTTCCCTTCAGCCCGTCGTCATGTGTGCTTCTGATCGAGTTCATCAAGCTCGTGGTTTCGTTCGCAGCTCTTTTGGCGTCTGGGAATCTATCCTGCCTCAAAATATCAGTGTTGACGGTGGCGCCGTAACTGCCCGAGTTTGTCACAGCTACTCCAGTTTGGATTGGGAAGCGTCAGACGAATCCACCGTCAGGCTTCACGTCTCATCCCGGGGTCTGCTGTTGGTGCTTGTCTATTGTTTCATCTCAGGATTGGCCGCCGTTTACACCGAATGGGTGCTGGAAACCCAGCATCTGCCTTTGAGTCTCCAGAACTTGTTCCTGTATGTCTTCGGCGTGGGAATCAATCTGGCGTCTCATCTCTCTGGCGGTGGGCGGCAGTGGTTTTTTTGAGGGTTTCTCCACTCTCCTGTGGCTCATTGTTGTGGGACAGGCTGCTAACGGGCTCCTCATGTCCGTCGTCATGAAACACGGAACGGGAATCACGCGGCTGTTCGTCATCTCCTCTTCTATGCTGGTGAATGGCGTGTTGTCATGGGGGATTCTGGGAATGCATCTCACACCTTACTTCCAGTTTCCCGTGCTGCTGATTGGATGGGCCGTATACCTGTATTACAGGTAGATGGGACGCCACCAAAGATGACTTTATTGCTGATTTTATTGTTTATTTTTTCAGCATGTGCCCTCAGATATCTCTGTCTTCTGCCTTTGTCCTCCTTCTAGAAGTGCATCTTTACTGTGAATGAACATCGTCTCATCAAGACTGAATGTCTGCTAATGTATTGTTTTTATTCATATGCAGTATTTTATTTTCAAAATAAATGTTGAAATGAATGGTACAGCACACATATATATTTAAGGCATATTTATGCAAATAAATACAATGGATCATTCAGTGGCCTGGTCAAGTGTTTTTAATAATGAGGTGTTTAATATTTATTATACAGAAAAATGCTGTGTCTTTCTGATCGTTGTTTTATTTTTTATACTATAATATTATTTATTAATATTTTGAATTTGTTTTATTTTATATTTTCTGTTTTATTTTTGTCATTTTATTTAATTTAAGTTAATCTTCAGTGTGGAAGATATTCATTTTGCACTGCATGCAACATTTAATGCCATGACTACGAATTTCTATAGAGTTTCTGCTTTGATTTAAGATGTTTTTAGGTCTTCATTTATGGAAGGGCAAATTAAGACTTTTTAAGACCCACAGATGAATTAATAAGCGTTGGATCAGATGTGTCATGGAGTGGGATTGAGAGCTTTCT